AGGATCAAATGGGAACAAGCAGTGCTTAGCTCCTGTGGATGAAAAAGAGGAAATATCATTAACCAGAATAATAAAAGTTGTCCCTTTACTGAACTTGGTGTGGACCTGGACTGAGGTAGTGGTATTGGGTGATGGCCGAATTTCCTAGCTTTCAAATTAACTTGCTGAAGAAATGCAGCTTAGTACTGAACTGTAACCTAAAAGATTGCCATGTCGAATGCCCTTTCTGTGGATGAGCTATCATGTTTGCGTTAGCAGAAGAGTTGCAGTATCCTCCCCTGCATGGGTATCACTGGTAGCTCACATGTTCTGTGCCCCCCTGTCCTACCTGGAGAGCTTCATAGCTGGTAGCCATCAGCAGTGGAAGTTTTCTAGAGTCTATACATGCTGAAAGATGTATGTCTGGGAGGAAGGTGGTATAGTTTTGTTCTTTTTTTGTGGCTTGCACTTAGGGAGGGCCCAAATTCCTGTCCTAAAGAAGGACTGGTCAGACTAAGGGATATTGTTCAATCTTCTGTGCCAGTTTGTTGTCAAGGATGAACCCAAGGTGTGATAGCCTGGGTATATTTAGAGCGAGGGACTGGAGGTAAAGAAACTGCTGTGATGAGAGCAGATTTAGCACCTGTCAGGTCAGAGGCATCTTCTGCATGGGCATTGAAATCTCCTAGGACAGTGAGCCTTGTGTGAACTCCATCATCACGTCAGACAGCATCTCTGTCATTTCACTGGGAAGCCCTTATGCCTGGATGTCTCTGGTTATTCGTCCTTTTGCCTTTACTGATTAAACGAAGGGTCTCCAAGGATTTTGCTTCAGCAGAGCTGATCTTAAATTTCTACTTGCATATGCTGGGTATTTGCTGAGGGTAGGAGGTTATCTCATGAGCTGCTAATATGACATCTTTCGTGATGGTTCCATTCACATGGCTACATATCTTCTTTCCTTTGTTTTTCCTTTTTTTCTTTTTTTTTCCTTTTCATCTCAGTACGGAGGAAGTAGAGGCTACAGGAAATATATCAACATTTCTGGCCCTTCTGATTCAAAAATTCTGGCTAGTGTTAAATTAGCAAGGTCACAAAAGTGTTAGAAGATGAGTATATTCCATTTCTCACTCACAGACCCTTAAATCCAGGAAGCAGTCTTCATTGAAGGACTGAGGCTTTTTTTGCTTTAGAACTCAAAGCATGAGGATAACCTAACAACTATTTGCCTATGTTTTTTTATAGCCACTGTTTTGTTATTTAGTCCTGTCTCTCGTTCCTTCTCTACTGTCCACCTCTATGTGAGTAGGAATAAGCCTATGTACAGTGGTGTTGGTGTTAGAAGTGGCAGTTGGCCAATGTAAGTTGATTTGTTGATGAAAGACAAAGCCTGTTTGCTTGTTTATTTTCTGGTGCTGATGAAGTTTTGCATGTGGCTGGATTTAGAGCAAGAATCCAAAGAGGATGGCCGGAATCCAGGCAGTGGCCACCAGTCACTCTGGGAGAGATGTTGACAAGTGGCCCAGACTTTGCAGTGCGTCCAAACGCAGGGCGAGAATGTTCATTAAACAGAAGCTTAATCAAACAGGGCAGCAGGATGGTTTACATGAGAGAAGATATATTCTTTACTTAACATTCACAACTTGCTTGTGGATTAATTAGCCCATCTGCTACAACAAATGTATTCCCTTGTCTTTTTGTTGACTGTTAAAAGTGACGGATTTCTCTATCCACTTAAAATAGTACCCTGGATTCCACTGAAAGTAACCTTTCTGAGGCATGGAATTTATTTAATCATCCACTAAGAACCTGTAAGTGACTTGCTGTAAATAAGTGCTCTGCTGTCTACAGCTCCCCGGGTAACTATATGTGAGTGTTAAGCTGGGGGATAATGCAGGAGGCAGAAAACTCTTAAAGAAGCTACGTGAAGAGAGCTTCCAACCCCATCTGTAGAATTGGCTTTAGATTTTAAAATAAATTCTCTCTTCCCAGCCCCAAGTGGGCAGGACATCTGCCAGCACAGAGTAATTCAGCTGCAGATTTTCTTCTGAGAAGGGAGGCATTCATAAATTAGGTGACCTTTATGCAGGTCGACAAAGTGTGTTGATGAACTTCAAGTGACAATTTAAACAAGTATTGTGTGTCTGAAGTGCTTGTATTTCATAAGAAACCAACGTAAAGGATGGAATGTTTGTAAAGTCTTTAAATCAAATAGGTATTTAAATGAAAATAGGGGTCAGCCACAGGTTTCCAGGATAAATGAAAATGCGTATCTTTTGTGATTTTTCACACTCATGTGATTTTAAAATATTATTATTCTTTAGAAATCAAATTTACATGTAAATGGCATTGTTGTGAATTTATGTCTGTTTCCTCAGAATAAGTGATAAGTATTGACTGATGGGAATAAACAGAGCTGCTAGTTTTCCAAAATAATCTAATAATATAGTTTGTATGCTGTCCAAGTATCTCTTTGCTTTGCTGTTGCAGATCTGTGATAAAATGGTCAACTTGTGCCAAAACCCATGTGGTTCAGCTGGAATACAGAAGGATTGTGTGTTTTATACTTGAGTAGGGGAAAAAATGATATGTGGTATTTATTCCCAAGCATTTGTTTTTAGGAGAAACACCATATACTTAACCAAAACTTTAAAGTATTTGAAGGGTTTGGGGAGACAGGAAAGTAATTTTTCTGTTCGTGGGGCCTTAGGAATGAGTGTCACTCAGGCAGCCTGTGGGACACTCTTGTTACAAATCCTGCAGAAACTGTTAAAAATTGTGTCCTTGGTAGGATCTGAGTTAGAAGCAAGGATGAAGCAAAAGCTGGAATTGAAGACTGACTGGAAGACCCAGGCTCGAAGCTTTATCTCTAATTGCCTCTATTAGACAGAGTTGAGTCTGAACACCCTGGCAGTATAACTTGTGCTATTGGAGAGGATTTGCAGCAGCTCCCTCCTTGGGGAAATTTATTTTGTTATGACATAGATTATTCTTTGACTGTTGTAGCCCTTCCTCTTATATACCACTGATATTTAGATTAATGTAACCTAGGGTTATAATTTGATAGATTATTTAAATAGTAAAATCTTAACATAAAATCTTAATATTTTTGGCTTCAGTCATCAGAGAGACCATACATATACATTAAACTTAAGTGACCACACTAACTGCTGTTCGTGTTGCTTGTTCACAGTCTAGGCTGCAGGGGTATGGTACTTCTGGGGATCCCAGGCATTCAGCACAGGGAGTTGTGAGCTTTTTTATGTATAGAAATGTTTCAGAAAATTTCTAGACTTCTCATCACCACATACAGCATTAGGGCTAGTTAGAAAGGTCAGCTGACCTTTGCATTGGTGGCTAGGTATTTTGCGTGTTCTCATGGGTAGCGCAGCTGTGAAAACGTTGCTTGTTTGGAAGTTGTGTCAGAGAAAAGCTTGTTCTAACGTGTACTCCAGCATGTACTCTGGAAATGTATTGAGTTGTTATAGACATGTAATTAACGGGTAACAGTATCATAGCCATCCACATAAACAGACAGGATTATGGTTACACATGTTTCCTCAAGTGTGACATTTTTAATTGCAAATGCTTCTTGTGACAGGCTTAAAAACATTACTCAAGGCTGCTGAATGGCTTTTTTGAGTTTGCTGTTGTTCCTCTTCATATGTTATTCCTTTTTGACAAGAAAGTTCCAAGAATTTCTTGAATGAAAGAGTGATGTTGCAAAGAAATTTTGGATTCAACCAGTATTAACAGGCATTGGGTGACAGTCAGTTAAGGGGCTGTCTCATTTCTGGAGGAGGTTTAGACTTAGTTCGTTAATCAGAAATTTTATGATTTCATTGTCTATACAACACAGGTAATTTGGTCATGAACTTACAGTAGAATCCTACTTCTTATTTGCTGCCATCATAAAGATTTTGCCAGGAATATAAATTTTAATCAGGTTTTGGTGCCCTCCAGATGTTCAGATTTCTTACTAAAAACCCCTGCCTTTCTACCCCAGCACAGAATCATCTCATCTCCCCAGCAGTTCACAATAATTAGGTCCTGTGCAGCAGCCAACAGCAGTCCCATTGCTCTGGAAACAGCAAAATTGTATTTTCTGTGTAAAGATGTTTCATGACCGCTGTGTCCAAGTGCTTAGCTGCTGACGGCCGTAGACGAATTAGCTGTCACATTTTGTAGTGGGCTAATACTTGAGAATTTTGCCCTAAATACCTGAATTTATATAAATTTAGCATCACCCAGCCTTGCAGTTACCTTTTCTGATAGCCTAAGGCCTCATCTACACCAGGAGAAATTTGCTGCTTTGCCTATAACAGAGAAGAACCTTGCCAGAGTCTTTTAGTTTTGTCAAGCTGTGCTGCATTTGCAGCATAATTTTCTCTGGTTTATTATTCGTCTGTTTGTAGCAAATTATTTCTTCAGTTTGTTTGATTTAGATTTCTCTTCCCTTAAAAGAGCAGCAGCTGACTGTGTTAGTCAAATCTTCCTGTCTTCGGTCTTAATGATTGTATAATGGCCACAGCAGATAAGTGACAAAACATTGAAAATTGGCTTTGTTTCTTTTTAGACATCAGAGACATGTTTATTGACATCTGCATTAATAACAATGCTCTACCAGAAATCCTTTAAAACAATTGCATGCCACACAAAATGCTGAAATTGAAAATTAAAGGCACCTCTCTTTTTTACTTGTATTTTATGAGGTGAATAAAATAGCATGAGAGAAATAATTTTTAAACATCCTCTTTAAATACTGTGGTTTCTTTGCTGTGTTTGGATTCTATCGGGACAGTTATGGAGGAGTTCGAACCATTTCTAATTTCTAGTGAAGATTAAAGAATTTATTTTCTCTTTCCAGCTTTGTCTTCCCTCTTGCATGGATGCCAAAATAAGCTGCAGTCAATGGAAGCCCTTAACACAATAATTCATCCCCTTTTACTTTACAGCCATATTTTTTATGCTGCCTTTTCATTTGTCAGTAACCTTTGGTATATTTTTCTGGTTTTCTCTAGGTCAATGGGAAGGACCTCTCCAAGGCCACTCATGAAGAAGCAGTGGAAGCTTTTCGCAATGCCAAGGAGCCAATTGTAGTTCAGGTTTTACGACGAGCCCCAATTAGCAAAGCTCAAGGTAGCTCTCAGGATGTTCGGCTTGTGGATGCCAGTACTCAGACTGACATAACTTTCGAGCACATTATGGCTCTGGCCAAACTAAGGCCCTCCACACCACCAGTTCCTGATATCTGCCCTTTTCTGCTTTCAGACAGGTATGATTTATCTTCTCCTGCTGTTTACCTGTAAGATTGAGGGATTACAATGGTAGACTTGTTGCCTTCTCTTGAAAAAGTCTCAGGAACACTTTAAATAAATCACAGCTGTAGTTGATAATCATTGTCCTGTTCAAGCATGAGATAATTTTCCTAAACTCTGATCATGGATTGAAGCTACAGGAAGGAATCTTGACCATGTTTTCTTTGTGTTCATGTGTTTGTTCATACAAAGCTAAATCCTATTCCAGAACACTGCTTCTGTGTTCTAAAGTATCAGAAAGGCTTCTTCAAACCTAGAAAGACTAGTCTTTGTTGCTTTCTCTTCCAGATTTCTTACCAAAAAATAAAGGAAACAAATTATTTAATTTAAAGGTCTCCTTTTCAGAAGCAAAGCAATCCAAAAATACAGAGATCAAAAGTACAATTTCACCTGTCATATGGTGAATTATATGAATTTTATTATCCCTCAGTTGAATTCTTTGAAACCAATTGAATGCAAATAGCAGCAGGTGGTGCTTATACAAAGACGGGGCATAGCCTTTTTCCTCTTTGGTCATCACCTGATGACTGACATCATCTAGTGGCTGACCCTTTTCCTCTGTTGGTAGCCAGCAAAGCTATGATAGCTGTAGAGCCTTTCCACTGACTTCCTGGCATGTCATGCATCTCTGCAGAAGTGATGCTAATGGAGAACATACCACTTTTGACTTTGATATAGCTCCATTTTTAGAAGTTCTAGGTAATCTGGGTAGATGATTGTCTCAAAGAGAACTTGCCAGCCAGGTGATGGATTGAGCCTATCACTTGCTGCTACACAGCTAGGAACATGCTACGTATATATTTTTTGAGTTGGTACTGGATAATACTAAACTGTGTGCTACTGTGATTGAAGTTCCTATGTCCTCGGCATGAGGAAAAGTTTCCTACCTCTGCTAAGATAGATCCATGCCAGGTGCTGCTTGGTTGGGATTCAGCCTTGGGTCTAAGGCTGTATATAAATGCATATTGTAAAGACCTCATTCTTTGTGCTCCAAGTCCATTTGACAGTGCAGTTTACTGACATTTTTAAGTGTGCAGTTAACTCAAATGCACTTCACCACTCTGTTATCACTTTAACAAAAGAGGATAATGCAAGTCTTGAGCAGTTGGTGAGCCTGGTGTGGGTTGTAGATTGTGGACATTCAAGACTTTATTACCAGATAATTAGTGAGTTGTCCCCAACCATGACACAGCACATGAATCTGGAGTTAGGTACCTTTATGAATGTAAGGAATCCCAAATTGTCACAATTAAATAGTTTGGCCCGAAACATACCCTTTTAAGAAATCACCCTGTATAAATCTGACAAAAGATGAACCCAGCAAAATGAACTCAGCTGGAGTATAAGCTTTGTAAAAGAAAATAGCCCATTCTACTTTTTGGTACAGTTCCTTTCAGGCTATCAGGCCATTTCAGAGTAGTGTTACAGAGATAAGAAAACTACAGAGAAGTGGGATTATTTTTTTTTTACGACTTTTTAATTTAGAAAAACACTATTGTCTCATCTACTGTTATTGTACTGCTTTTGTTCCACATAGCTGCCATTCTCTTCATCCAGTGGAGCATGAATTTTATGAAGGTAATGAGTATCTTTCCAGCTTGCCTGCTGATGCAGATAGAGCAGAGGACTTTGAGTATGAGGTAAGATCACTGGCACACTGCAGCCTCTCTTTCTGTTATTACCGATATGGTATTTGTGCAGCTGTTAGCAGGCTCCTTTGAGAAAAATAAGAGTGGGAATACTTCTTAAAAAATGGACACCAAAGGCTATTTTATTTTATACCTGTGTAATGTCACAGGCTTTACTGGGGTTAGGCTGCACACATGAAATGTGAAAGCAGAATTCTGCAGTCAGTGGCTACATGCAAGTCCAGGAGGCTTATGAAACATGCTCCCTCTTTGTGCAGTGGAGACGGTAACTCAGATGCTTTGCTTGTGCAGTTTTAACACTTTAAAGCAAGCCTTTCTGAAATTAAAAATGGTTACTAGAAGCTTAATTGCCTTCCCCCCGCTAATTTTAAGGATTAATTTGCCTTGTATCTCATGCCTTAGAGAGAAGTCTTACAGATACCTGGGTGTATATTTGAGTGTTTGTAAGATCAGGCTACAATTTCCAAAATTAATATAACTTGAATTACTTGCTCTTTTATATTTGACAGTGTAAGTATTACAATTATAAAAAATTGTGCTCTGTACCACAAATCTCCTATTGCTGTTATTGTATTGTACTCTCCAGTGACAAGGGTGGATGTGTTCCTGAGTCACTGGAAAATTGTTATCTCAGGCATCTCAAAATGACAGCATGTGATTGGTGATGTTGCTTTTTATTAGATTTTCATCTTAGTATTTACATAGTCTTCTTGTTGACTAGTCATTAGCTTTTCATGTTTTCCAATATTATCCAGTACAAAGTATTTGTAGGGACAAGCATAACTAGCAGATGGTTCTTTTTATTATTAAACAGTGGTGAGTCTTTGCATAAGTTCAAGTGACTGTGTTTTAAATAAGAGTGATTATGATTAAATATCTTTAATAGAAGATTAAAAATATCCTATCCTTCTGTTTGCTCTACCTTAGGAAACCTTTTTAAAGGTTTCATATAGTGGGTTGACATTTGGAAATGAAATGAACGGCAAAAGCTTTGGCAAATATGCAGTGTGTTCATTTTTATCGTGTCTATAGCAGCTAAGATGCTCTACTGCAAGTTCAGCCCATTGTTCTTTACTTCTAGCAGTCCAGGGATTCTGAAGTTCTTCCCCCAGGAAGCAGAGAAATCAAATAATATCTACTTAGTGAATCTCAATCAGAACAAGCAAACTTTTATTTGAACTCCTCAAAAAATCATTGCTAGGGATTAGTGAAATCATTATTTCCTCCCAGTTGGGTTTTGGTGTGATATCTCACAGCACAAGAGTCTCAGAGCTTAAGTTCTGTTTTGAGTTCCCATGAGTAATATAATATTAAATTTCTCTGTCAAGTATGTTTGTTTATGGTCCTTCTTCCTTAAATGCAATAGAAATTTGTTTTCTAATAATATTTAAATGAAATAGCAATGTAAGCATCTAGAAAGAGTATTTTTTAAAAATGGTTATATAAAAATAATTTTCACTATTTAATCAGAATATAAGTGACATATTAAAATACTAACAGATTTAAAGAGTCTACCTGGTGGAATCAAGTCCTTTTTATGACCATTATTAATCCTTAATAATATCTGGCATAAGTACTGTGACAACGGCAAATGCTTGGGCAGGTTCTCAGTTGCCTGTAATCTCTACTAATCACACCATCATAGTCATTAATGTGCTGTCAGCTGTGATTCAGTTGCCCAAGGCAAATTCACTGAGTGGCTGAAATAAAGTGTTTCATGTGAAATTTAAATAGGGAAGGAACTGTCTAGCTTCCTTCGAGATGAATGCTTTCTGCTAAACATGAAAGTTTTGAAGGAGAAACAAGAATATCTCAGAGCCTTTAACTAGCAGAGGTCTAAACATGGAGACATTCCCAAGTTTTAACCCCATGTGGTAATGTTATGATTTAGGTTTCTCATTTGTTGCATTATCTGTTGTTTCAGGTACTTATTAAGCTCCCTCCCTATAACTGGGTAGCTGAAAAAAGTAAGAGCATTGTCACCAGAGATATAGATCTCAATCCCAAAAAAGCCTCTTATAAAGGACAGTCAAAAGGGATTCACTAGCTGCTTACTTCTCCAGGGGATGAGCAGCAGGACAGTGAGTGGAGGAGAGGCTACGGTCCAATACTGTCAAGCGTATAACAACAGTATTGGCTCAGGTGTATCTTGCTGTGGGCACTCGGTCCCTGGTGTTTTCTGGCTCCTCAGTTACGCCAGCATTACTTTTTGTGAAACGGATGTGAGAAGTAATCCAGTATTTTTTAAAAACTGATTTTTAAGAAAGGTTGTTTTCAACGTAGCCCAGCTGCCTGATATAATTTCCACCATAGCTCTACAAGTTTCTGTGCTGCGTGGCAGTAGCAGCGTGGAAGGAAAAAGTGCTCAAGCACTTGGGAAGACAAGAACTTATGAAATCAGCATTGCCCATCCAGCATACAGGGCTCAAAGCATGAAAAAGAGAGGATGCTTGTGCCACCATGAGGGCTACAAGCTTGGCAGAAGAAGCACAGTCTGCTCTCTATCTCCCACCATTGGGAAAGAGGTTTATTGTTATTACTGTGCTTTCTGGAGAAGGAAGATTGTATCAATGTTTTCTGATTTTGTCATTCTTTTTTTCTTTATGACAACTTTCTTCTATGATCCTTAACAGTGTGAACCACCAATGGTTGGAACGTTTCTGGTGTGAACCTAATCACACACAGCAAAAATCCTGCCTAGTGTCAGGAGTATGGGCCAGTTTTCAAGCTGCACATTAGCATTTCCCTTGTACTAAAAGGATACAGATAAGCAGGTCTCTGTGGCAAACTTCATAGTTTTTAAATATATTAAAAGCCAAACCTGGGGATTTCAGAAAAGGATTGAAGCATGATAGCAGAAGAACTAGAGCAACACCTTTGTTTCCTAGAAATGGTTTGTAAGTTAACAACACATCAGTTCTGAGACACAAATGCAAAATACTCAGCCAAATTAGGAAGTCAGGAAATAAGAAGTCTAGCAACTGACAATCTGTAAACAAGAATGTTTTCCTGAGAAGGAGAGTGTCCTGGAAAGCTTTGGTCAGCTTGGAACTTGCTTACAAATATGTGCTGACATTTAAGTACCTGAATTACCACAAACAGGAGGATCATATTATGACAGCCAGCACTGAGGATGTGAACTTACACTTGCCAGTGGATTTAGTAGGATTAGACACTTCAAGACTTCTACCCCATTCGTAAGCTAGAAAAACCCACTGGATTGTGTTCAGATTGTTGCAGAACAATAAACTCAAGTATGAGCCAATTGTCTTGGAAGGATGAAGTCCCTGGAAGGCTCAATTAGGCACTGTACAATACCATACTCTAAACAAATGCCTGGGAAAATGATGAAGCTGGGGGACTGCCGATAGCCAGCTTGAGCATCCTTATGTTGCTGCTGCAAAACTTGTCCTAAAAAGAATCTGGATTGTTGATAGATATTGAGACAAGAGTCAGAGCCAGCATCAGTTCCTGTTGGCAGAGAGATCAAAAGATTTGCAATTTTGGCATAATCCAGATACCCATGAGAACTTTTAAGATAAAGCAGAAATTGACCAATTTGTGAATGCTCAGTTAGGCTTGCAGTTGATATCACTGAAAGAGAGCCAAAGATATTCAGGACAAACCCACCCAGTCTGGCTGAGAGTGGCTGTTGTGCTGCTGGAGTTACATCATGTGCTGCTGGATTTTCATTATGTGCTGTAACACTTCCTGGTACTGATGAGGTGAAAAAACTAAAAGCATCCTAGCCCCCAGTCTGTGTCAAGCATGACTCTTAATTTTTTTCCTTTAAGAAGAACAGAGGATACTGGTGCTGGAGTGGTATAAATAAGCTAATGGATGTGCACTTCTTTAATGACATTTCTGAACCTAGTATCCAGCAGAGAGAAGCATTATGTACTTGGTTTGAACATTGGCAGTAATACAGAGATTAAGGAGACAAAGTCACTTAGATAGTGGGACGGTGAAAAGATAGGTTAAAAAAAACCCCAAAGAATGTTGTGAAGACAAAGCTGGACAAAAAAACCCATCACTGATATCTGGTCCCACATATGCAATCTAAGGATTGGTTCAATCTCAGACCTTTCAGTAAGAAGGGCATAAGAAAATAAGGTGTTATAAGCAAGCACTATCTGATAGTGTCGTTTAGGGCAGAAGCCTTCATACCATCTATGCACTGAAGTAGCTTTTGAGCAAAAGCAAAATGGGAAGTGATTGTTTTCTGCTCTGAGAGCAAATATCTCTGGGGAATTACAGCTTTTGAAATCTCATGTATTTGGGGAAAATATTCTTATTTCTAGCTGAATACTTCTTACAAACAGCAAAAGTAGACATCCTTGAGAATGAAAAGCAGTGGGTTGAAGTAACTTGTTGCATATATGAAGAGTAGGCTGAATTTTACTCTCAGAATTGGAGTGATTTTTTGGATGGAGGTTGGCTGTTAGTTGATGTGGATGTGTGAAGGAGACCAGCATAATTGTCTAAAAGATTTTCCAGCTCTGATTGTTGTTGGGTTTAGATGAAGCACAAGTGATTGCTTCAGTACAGTGACATAGCTTGCAGCAGCCTGCAAAACCACATTGACGGTCCACCATGCCAGGATTAGCATTTTCAGAGTGAAAAAGAGAGAATGGCAGCCGTGTCTGGTAATTCCAGTTTTAATGCATGCAAATGCCAGTGTGGACAAATTGGGGCAGTATTAAGACCAGTACCTGGGGGGAGTTGCTAAGGGTTAAGTTGACCCTGTATGAAATTACAAGGTAATCTGATGCTTTTCACTCAAGGTCTTAGAAACCATTGAGCTTCTTTATTTTACTTCTTTTGCTCAGGAAGCTGGTGGATGTCACAAAATTAACAGACAACCACATGAGGCATGTGCAGGTGAAATCTTTCTGTGGTCAGTTTTTATGAAGCCTTTTGTGTCCCGACAGTGAAAGGATAAGAGGTCATGCAGGAAACAACAGCCACAAAAAAAAAAAAAAAAAGCATAG